ATACACCGCTCGCTTTCCTCTCTCTCTCTCTCTCACACACGACGCACCTGACTTCTAGGCTGCTTTATCATTCTCTCTCCTCCGCTTAATCCCTTGATCGCGCTTTAGCTCTTTTCCTCCCTCGTCTCATGCCCAGTTCCCACTATCTCTCTTTCTCTCCCCTCTATCTTGCTCTTCCAATCTCTCGCTTGTTTTATCACTTTCTTTCGCTCCACTCGACTCCATGTCTCTGCTCTATTCAACTCTCTCTCTCTCTTCAATCTTTTCCCTCTCGTTCTTCCTGACTCTCTTTTCTTCTATCCCATTTACCATCTCTCTCTCTCACTGTGTCTCCTCCTGCTGTTCACTTTTATCTGTCTTTCTTTCTTTTAGTGCATATTTCTATCTCTCTCAATGAGCAAGGATTTTCAGACAGAGCTCGAGCAAACCTCTCTTTTGCTTGAGTTCTCTTCAGTTGTCGACCAAAAATTGAATTCTAAAGCCTCCTTCTCTTCATATTTGAGCCATCCTCGGTCTTTCTGTTGGAGCAGTACAACAGATCAAAGAGCCAGTAGACCTTAGGTTGGTCCATCGACTTGGTACAATTTTCAGAAGGGCTTGCTTGGCAACAGGCGACAATCGGTCTCGGTCTGTTTTGTTGCCTTTGACTTCCGTTTCGAGTGAAAGTGTTCGTTGAAACGATTCGAAGATCAATCTCAACAGAGGGCTCCAGCTTCACCAAACACTTTCACTGGAAATGGAAGGGATTTGCATAATTACAGAATCAAGAGACGCATCGAAACCCAATTTTTCCTCGCCTCGTCACATTTCTTTTTGTTTCACTTGACCACGATTAGTCCTGCCTTAAATGGAATTGTCCACTTTTCATCTCTTCCCTTCTGTCGACAGTAAATTACAATTGGTACTTCGACAGACGCGGCGATTTGAGACGGTCAGTCAACGACACCAAAGGACTGGTACCGGGCGAAGATTTTTCTCGCGAAAAGTGTGCGAAGTACTGCCTGAAGGGTGTGAAGAACAACCAATGCCTGGGCTTTGACATCTGCACAAATGGTATGTGCTTCGTGTTGACGGATCAAGCCGATTTTGAGGACAAAGAAGAAGAAGTTCCTCAAGAAGAGAGCATCAAATGCTCACGTTTCACTCGTAAGTTGTTTACTTTGATATGAGTACTAGTGTTGTGTTGTATTGTATTGTGTTGTGTTGTGTTGTGGAGACCTTCATTTTGTGTTTATTCACATGACCGGAAGACGACGTTCGATTTATTTGACATGCAGCCGTCAACCTTCAGGTTGACGCAAATAACGGAAGTCATTAAGGCCTAAAATCCTTCTCGTGAAAGTCCTAAGTTAACATCCGGTCAAGAAGCTTACATCTTACGCACATTCATAACAAAATATCAAAAAAGTGTATAGACGTAGAAAGATATAGAATGGCTTGTTTAGGAGTAGGGACCCTACAGAAACCCTAAATTCTAGACCCTGGGGTTGCCTGAAATATCGTTTAGATTAAAAGTGAATTAGAGAAGTGGACAACGAGATGCATATTTATGTGTTAA